AGTTGGCTATGGTTTGAATGCTCCCCCAGGCCCCTGTGTTGAAGGTGTGATTGTAAGCCTGTGGCACTCATGGGAGGCAAGGGTATCTTTAGAATTTGACTTAGTGGAAGTCTTTAGAGGTGTGCCCTTGAAGGAGATAGTGAGGTCTCAGCCTCCTCCTCCTCCTCCTCCTCCTCCTCCTCCTCCTCCTCTTATCCCGGCTCCCAACTGGCATGAAGCATGTAGATTTGATCCACCACACCTTCCCTGCCATAACATTCTGCCTAGCTATTGGCCATTCAGGTTTTTATTAAACCAATCTGAGTGACACATCTTCACAGTGTACAAAACGATTATTGCCCAGCATTTCACACGTGGCTAGTATAGCATGATATATAATAATATGACACAAAATGTTACACAGCATGCATTATGTTAGGCATCATTTTTTTAAAGATTCATTTGTTCTTATCTTGTGTGCATGAGTGTTTGCCTGCATGCTGTGTGACATGCCATGTGGGTGCACCGTCTGGGAAGGCCAAAAGAGGGCCCCATATCCATTGGAACTGGAGTTACAGACAGTTGTGAGCCACAAAGAGGGTGCTGAAAACTGAACCCAGGGCCTCCGAAATAGCAACTAGTGCTCTTAACTGATAAGCCATCTCTGCAGCCCCTTGTGTTTAGTTTCAGTTGCTGTGACAACATACCTGAGATAAATTTACAGGCAAGAAAAACTTAACTTTGGCTCACAGTTTCCAAGGTTCCAGTTGTTTGCAGGATTTGGGGGAGGGGGCAGAGAAAATGCTGAGAAGAAGAAGGCGGCCAGACACAGAGTCAAGCAAGATGTACAGGAGGAGAGACAACAGCCGTGAGTACATAGATCAATAGAAATGGATTAATTTAAGCTATAAGAGCTAGTTAGAAACAAGCCTAAGCCGTAGACCAAGCTTTCAAAATCAATAGTAAATCTCTATATTGTGATTTGGGAGCTGGCTGGAGGGACAGAAAAATCTACCTCCACACACACATATATCAAAACACAACAGAACATATTCAACATGTTTTAAATTATGAACACAAATGCCTACTAGATATATCGCACCATAAAATACATTAATTTGTACACAACACACGTATACATATGTCACATCCGTATTCATAAATATATCTGTACATGGACATATGTGCACATCCGTGACTACACGTAGACATACCCATGCTTCCTACACGTTACTGAAACAGGCCTGTTTTCCCTATCACTCAGTAGGCTGCCACTAAAAGAGGGAGTTTTGGAAAAAAAAAAAGAATAAAAGAAAGTTTGTTCATGAAGTGGGCAAGTACGAAGACCTACAAAAACACATCTCAAAACCACAACTTCTAGGTTAGCTTGTGGGAAACAGAAGCAGAATTGCACATAGCGAGTTTGAAGTCAGTCTGGGCTACATAGCAACAGGGGCAGAGGAGAGGAGAGGCCCACAGGGAAGAGGGGGAATGTGTCAGGGCTCTGAAGGGAAAGGCTTCCCCAACAGAAGTGTCACAGCTCTGCTTTGGGAGGGGAGGGTTTCCCCAGTGCAAGTGTTGCAACTCTGAGGGGAAAGCTATCCTGGCAGTCAGGAGCCAGGGAATACCACAGAGTCACACTGCACAATAAAACTCACACGAGAGATTTCTTGGGAGGGGAAAAACGTGGGGAGGTGACTGCCTCTGCTCCAGTGAGAAGCAGCAGGGAACCAAGCAGAAAGCTGGGTTTATACAGGGTTCCTGGCGGGACACACACACACACACACACACACACACACACATACACACACACATACACACACACACACACACTCTTTTCAAGGTAGTCTGGGATTGCTGGGATTTTTATGATCTCATCAAGCTCAGGGATTGGTGGGCTTTTGTGCTCAGGGATTGGTAGATTTCCGTGGCCTGATCTTGAGGCAAGCTCAGGGATTGGTGGGGCTTTGTGCTCAGGGATTGGTAGGATTCTGTGGCCTGATCTTGAGGCAAGCTCCGGGATTGGTGGGATTCTGTTTATTGTTCTTTCCTTGGCCCTTTTACTCTAAAAAGGGGAAAGAAGAAGGAACAGTTAAAACATTGAGAAAAGAGAGATTGGAAGAATGCTGTTCATTCATTAAAGCAGAATTAGTTTATTTATTGTGTAGATGCAACAGCGCACTTGTGGAGTAAGACTAACTTGAGGGAGTCAGTTCTCTCCTTCTGCCCCGTGGGTCCAGGATCATCAAGCTACTTTGCCGTAGCACTGCCTCCCAACCCAGTGAGAACTTTTGTCCTGCCAGTCTTTGATCCAGCATCATGGAGGTCCACAGGATGCATGTTCAGAAAACACCAGGGTTGCAGGAACTTCGGCCCTGCCTCTTAACATCTAAAAGTCGTGCATTCACACAGGCCTAGGTGAACAGTGGGTGATTCCAACAAAAGCACAATTTTGTTTCCTAAAACGTAGGCCAGTAGCTACCCCAATTCAGAGGGTGTACCAGGCAGTAAAAGTCAGTCGGAAACAAGAATATACTGTTCAGTTGGCTGGCCTGGTTTTGTTGTTGTTATTTTTGTTTTGTTTTGTTTGTTCGTTTTTGGAGACTGTGCTTCTCTGTGTAACTTTGGAGGCTGTCCTGGAACTCGCTCTGTAGACCAGGCTGGCCTCAAACTCACAGAGATCCCCCTGCCTTTGCCTCCCCGGTGCTGGAATTAAAGGCGTGCGCCACCGTTGCCTGGCTAAAAATGATAGATTTTTAAAGTCAATTAAAGAGAGGTTTGTTGCGATTTCCCTTCCGTTTCCTGTAAGGGAGCGCGTAGCCGGAAAGATGATTCCAAAAACCATTCAAACGGTCGCCGGTGTAACTGTGTGTGTGGGGTGTGAAAAACCAACGATGCAAGACAGTTTCACCGTTAACTGTTTTCAATTTTTTGAAACGCAGCAACTCTCCAGTAAGTCGAGGCAGGCCACAGGCGGATGTTTGCACTGTCACTGCACCTGGGACACCAACTTTGTCCATCTCGCTTCGTCTTCCCCACGACCCCACCCACCACGTGACCCCCTCATCCACGTCCCTCCTCCTCCCTTAGCCCTGAATGTCAGATATGCTCACCTCCTCCCTCATCCACGTCCCTCCTCCCTCATCCACGTCCCTCCTCCCTCATCCACGTCCCTCCTCCCTCATCCATGTCCCTCCTCCTTCATCCACGTCCTCCTCCCTCATCCATGTCCCTCCTCCCTTGTCCATGTCCCTCCTCCCTCATCCACATCCCTCCTCCCTTCTCCACATCCCTCCTCCCTCCTCCACGTCCCTCCTCCTCACTTAGCCCTGAATATCAGATAGGCTCACCTCCTCCCTCATGCACGTCCCTCCTCCCTCCTCCATGTCCCTCCTCCTCATCCCCGTCCCCACTCCTCCCTTAGCCCTGAGTCGAGGAATAATATAAATCAGAAAATATTCTGTGGGTCCAGAACCCAACAGCCAGAGAACTGTGGTGGAACCACTGTGTGGTGGCACCTATAATCTCAGCAACTCAGAAAGTGAGGTAGCAGGATTGCTGTGGGTTCAAGGCCAGCTTGAACCACATGGTAAAACTTAAAAAAAACAAACAAAAAAGGTGGAATCATAAGCATAGGCATATGGCTGGATTCGGTGTCTATAAAACAAAAGCCATACCTCTTGCAAAAGCTGCTGCCTAACAGAATCAAATGAATTAACAGACCAAACCACCCACAATAGTAACACATTATGTGCGCATTAGTCTTCTCTCTTCCCCTCATTTTTATTAGTCGAGAATTTCCTACAATACATTGTGATCATATTCACAGTCGTCCCTATTTCTCCCAGATCCCAGCCCCCTCCTTACCCCACCCAGTTTTGTTTTTTAAAATCAAGTTTAGTTTGTACTGCCCATATACATTATATACACTATATATACTATATAATGTATATATACTATATATAACACTACACTACCATACATACACATATAATACTATATACATATATAGTACACATATTTATATTTATATATAATACTATACACATATATAGTAGAGTAATATATGTGTAAATAAATATACACACATATACATATACACATACACATACACATACATATACATATACATATAAACATACACATACACATACATATACATATACATATACAGTAGCAGCTCCTGGGATTGCAGAGATGGGTCAGCAGTTAAAAGCACTCACTGCTCTATCAAAAGAGGAACACTAGGTACCTCACAAATACCTGTAACTCCAGCTTCAAGTGACCCAACTACCTCTTACGGCCTCTTTGAAGGCATTTTCTTTCTTTCTTCCTTCCTTCCTTCCTTCCTTCCTTCCTTCCTTCCTTTCTAGAGGTTAAAAACAACCCAAGGCTTGGAGACTGAAGCTGAGGGGAATGATAAAAAAATTGCACAGGGTCTGGGAAAGAGGCAGGAAATTTTTGCAACGATCACCTGGAAAAGACTACGGCCTCTTCTTCTAGACTACTAAGTGAAGAAGATGTAGGAAGAGGTTGTGTAAGGCTTCCTTTAAAAAAAATTTACCTACTGTGTTGTAAATGTCGGTAACATTTAACCCTCACAAGCCTTTAGAGTGTAGACATTGTTTCTTAGAAGTTGAAGTTTCCTGGGAATTTAAGTTGTAATTAGGGGTGAGAGAGAGAGAGAGAGAGAGAGAGAGAGAGAGAGAGAGAGAGAGAGAGAGAGAGAGGAGGGAGGGAGGGAGGGAGGGAGAGAGCCCTGCCTGAATATACTTAGTGTATCACATGCATGCAGGAGCCTATGGAGATGATAAAATGTTTTGGACCCCTAGAACTGGGATTTTAGATGGTCACGAACCACCATGTGGGTGCTGGGAACCAAACCCAGCTCCTATGCAAGAGCATTAGACTCTCTGAAGAGCAGACCCATCTCTCCAGGTCCCTACCCGGTGATTTTGATTGATAGATCAGAAAGCGCTGATCCTAGAGAAGCTTGTGCTTTATTTAGAAGACGGTGGGAAAGCCCACTGCGAGGCTTACCCGTGGGAAGTGGCGGGGGCGTGAACTGAAGTGGGTTCTTTGGTCCTTTCCTTTACCGCGGGAAGCGCGGGGCCGCTGCTGACATTCACATTAGGACGGGTGTTAGGAAGGTGGGTGACTGACCATGGACTGCCGCCAGAAAGGACTCGGTGCTGTGTTATTCCTCTTACCCAGGCTCAGGACTCTGCAGGGGGAAACCAGTGGCCGGCAGAGGCAAGATGCGAAGGTGTTAGTCTGCCATCTTCTGGCCCAGGTGAGCTAAGCTGTCTTTTGTCACGGTTTCCTGAGATTTCCTGATTGCCGGGTCTGCCCTGTCCATCAAATCTTCACCTCCATTAAGTCTGTGTATGAACGTGTTAGTGGTCCTCTTTCCCCCATCTAACTTGTCTGAAATGGTCTTTTCTCTCTTCCCTGATGCACTCCTATGGAACATTTTCCTTCCTTTTCTCCATGTCCTGAATGGTTTGGTTTTTTGTTTCTTTGTTTTTTCCCTCAATATATGTTTTTATTTAAATTAGAAACATGCATGCTTCACATGTCAATCCCAGCTCCCTCTCCCACCCCTCCTCCATTGTCCCTCCACCAGCTCCCCTAGCCCCCTACCCAATCCCCACCTCATTCCCCAGAGAGTGTGAAGCCCTCCTTGGGGGAATCTCCAGAGTCTGTCATTTCATCCAGGGCAGGACCTAGGCCCTTCCCCATGTGTCCAGGCTGAGAGAGCATCCCTCCATGTGGAATGGGCTCCCAAAGTTCATCTGTATGCCATGGTAAACATTGATCTACTACACAAGGCCACAGAGATTTCTGAGGCCTCCTCACTGACACTACATTCATGGAGTCTGGATCAGTCCCCTGTTGGCCTCTCAGCCATCAGTCTAGGGTTCAAGAGCTTCCCCTTGTCAGGTCAGTTGTCTTTGTGAGTTTCCTCATCATGGTCTTGACCCCTTTGCTCATCACTCCTCTGTCTCTGTCACTGGGTTCCAGGAGTGCAGTTCAGTGTTTAGCTGTGGGTATCTGCCTCTGCTTCTATCAGTCACTGGATGAAGGTTCTAAGATGGCATATAAGATAGTCATCAACCCTAACATCAAGGAGGGGCAATTAGTGTAGTCTCTCCACTATTGCTTAGTTTGCCAGTTGGTGTTATCCTTGTAGATCTCTGGAGATCTCACTAGTGTCAGCTCTCTCCTCAAGCCTATAATGACTCCCTCTATTATGGTGTCTCTCATCCTGCTCCCCGCTATGCTTACCTCGACTCAACCTTCCAGCTCCCCCATGCCTTCTTCAAAGAAGAGGAGATGGTTTGTGATTTAACATCCTGTTTTATTCAGAACAAGCCCCTAGCCTGAGTTTTATGCCCCCCCCCACTTTTTAATGAGAATGGAGGCAAAAAGACTTAGTAAGCCGCTTAAAACCAGCAGAGAGGCAGCCAGCAGGGGTGGGAGCCTGCCTGTCTGTGTTCCCTCAGCCTCCTGTGGTGAGCGCTATTTTTCTCACTTAGGCTCTTTACTCGCTGCTTCTTTAATTATTTAGAGGTATTTTTTTCTAGTGTTTGGGGAGAGCTGGTGACCTTCAAGGATATGGCTTGAAGGAGAATTAGTTCAGTCCCTGAGGAGTTAAAGGCTGCCCATGTGCTGCTCAGAAAAAAGCCTGTAACCAGGAGGTGATGTCAGAGGAGCCTGTCCTGGGAGGAGATGTTAACAGATTACTAGACCCTTGTCTCCCAAGGTGAAGGTATGCGCTGTCTGTAGAGCTCAGCCTGGGCCAGGGGTAATACTTTATTTTATGCATCTGAGTGTTTGGCGCGAATGTTTGTCTGCCCCGAGTGCCTTCAGTGCTCAGGGAAGCCAGAGGAAGGCATTGGTCTCCCCCCATACCACCCCCCCGCACTGGAATTACAGATGGTTGCCAGTCATCATGTGGGAGCTGGGAATCGAACCCAGATCCCCTGCAAGAGCCGTAAGTATTATTAACTGCTGAGATATTTCTCCAGCAGTCTCATTTTGTTCCCATTATATCTTCAATTTTTAAAAATGAGAATGTAACAGTTTTCCACCTTCACTTTTCCTGCCTCCATCCCTTCCCTACTACCCTCTCTCAAATTCATGGCCTCTTGTTTCTTCAGTGTCATGTATGTATACGTGTATGCATATATATTCTCAATATAGAAAAACAGAATACAAATACATATGTGTCCCTAATATATATGAATGCAACCTGTTCGGTCCTATCATGTTACTTGTATGTGTACGGTTTCAGTGCTGACCACTAGGTATTAGATAACTGGTGGGTGTGATTTTCCCTGGGGAAGACTATTTCTCCTGCTCTCGGCATTCCTAGTTCTTTGTTTAGGGTTTGGACCCCGTGAGCTTTTCCCCACCCATGATAGCGTGTGTACTGATGTCACCATAGTTCAAATCTTCCTTAAGCAGCTGCTTGTCTATTTTTACATTTATTTATTCCCAGAGAATGTCATACATGTGTGTAACGTATTTTGATTATATCTACTCCCATCTGCCTCCCAGTTCCTCCCAAACTTCCCAACCATACCGCCACCCAGCTTCAAAAGGAGAACACTCTCCTAAAAAGGAGAGAGAGGAAGGAAGGAAGGGAGGGAGGAGGAAGGGAGGAAGGAAGAAAGAAAGAAAGAAAAAGAAAGCAAGCCACCCAGTATCTTAATTCAGACTTACTATGTTCCAGGCACATATCTAAAACCTTTGCACGTGTGACTTCCTGATCCTCACTCTAGTCTTATGAAAGAGAGCCATGCTTCTTGTTGCTGTTATTGTGGCCCTGCTAGAGATGGGAATCAGAGTCGTGAGCAAGTTTGATTACCTCTCTGAAGGTAGGATTCTCTGCACAGCCTACAGGCATATTAACAAGTTAGAGTATACTTTCCAGCTGCCTCAGTTGGTCTAAACCTCTTGGAGATGCTCGCTGGTTTCCTAGCTGGTCTGGATTCAGAGGCGCCAGTCCAGCTTGTCTTTGCCTACACTGACAGGGAGGGACCTAGTGAATCTGGTCAGTTTCTGGGACTTCCTGGGGTTACTTTGTTTAACTTCACTTCTAAAGAGCTTCCCTGACAGATGAGATGTTTCTGTCTTAGGAAACTGTTACTTTGTTTTTCTTGTCTGTTGTTACATGGCCTCTATTTTTGTCTTTCGGAAGTAGTGTCCTTTTCCTGTTATAGGGTTGATTGAGAGCTTCCATGTAAATACACGTATGGAAACTGATTGCCTTAGTTAGGGTTACTATTGCTGTGATAAAACGTGATGAGCAAAGCATCCTGGGAGGAAAGGGTTTACTGGGCTTACACTTGTACCTTGTAGTTCATCGTTGGAGGAAGTCAGGACAGGAACGCAAGCAGAGCAGGAGCTGATGCAGAGGCCATGGAGGGGTGCTGCTTAACGGCTTGTTCCCCATGATTTGTTCAGTCTGCTTTCTTACAGAACTCAGGGTCACCAGCCCAGGGATGGCACCACCCATCATGGATCGGGCCCTCTCTAATGAATCACTGTTTAAGAAAGTGCCCTATAGGCTTACCTGCAGCCCCCTCTTATGGAAACCTTTTCTCCATTTTGTTTTTTCTTTTTTTTTTTTAATGATTTATTTTATGCGCCTTGGTGTTTTGCTTGTGTGTATGTCTGTGTGAGGGTGTCCGATCCCCTGGTACTAGAGATACAGACAGTTGTGAGCTGCCATGTGGGTGCTAGGAATTGAACCCAGGTTCTCTCAAAGAGCAGCCGGCGCTCTTAACCTCTGAGCCATATCCCCAGCCCTGGAGGCATTTTCTTAATTGAGGTTCCCTCCTCTCAGATGGCTTTGACTTGTGTCAAGTTCACCTAAAACTATCCAGCGCACTGCTCCATAGAAAAGTACTAAATAAGTACTTAATACTGCTGCAGATATCACCAATTTATGCCAACAATGCAATGCCATTCATCAGTGTGTCAGTGAGGTCCCACTGTGCTGCGTCTTGGTGTCGCTTTAGGAATCCACACTAAATGAGAACTCCCTTTCTACTGGATTGTGTATCTCGGGAGGAGACACATGATCAACAAGCCCGTAGCTAGGTGGTACCCAGATGGCAGGGATTTGGGAAAGGGAACTGAGGATGGGAGGAGCAGAACGGGGCTTATCACAGGAAGAAAAAGAGTTCTGCTGTTGGCTTTGACTCTGTCAGACTGTCCAAGCTGATGTGTGGGGCTCAGCACACACTCGGTTCTCCTTCTTAGTTTTTATGCAGTACGTTTTTCAGCCTTGCTACTATTAGTGAATGGGGATGTATAATTCTTACGTGTGTGTGTGCCTGTGTGTGTCTGTGTGTGTATGTGTGTCTGTGTCTGTCTGTGTGTGTCTATGTGTGTGTATGTGTGTGTCTATGTGTATGTGTGTCTGTCTGTGTGTGTGTGCCTGTGTATGTGTCTGTGTGTGTATGTGTGTCTGTGTATGTGTCTGTGTGTGTGCCTGTGTGTGTCTGTTGTGTGTGTGTGTGTGTGTGTGTGTGTGTGTGTACTGGGTGTGTGCACTTGAGGGCACTGTGTCCCCTGGAAGTAGAGTTGCAGATGATTGTGAGCTTCCAATGTGAGTGCTGGGAACCAAACTCGTGTCCCCCGGGAAGGTTCTTACTTAGCCACTGAGCCGTCACTGCAGCGTTCCATACTCAATAATCCTTTTATGGTTATGCTGTTGGATTGAGGAACCTCCCTGCCTCCAGTAGCTAGATGCCGAGGCCACCTCTCTCTTCCACAGTTGGGGCAATAAGTGGTGTCTCCATATCCAGGGAGGCATCTGGTGTGGGGAGGGTGTATAGGGCTGTATGGGAAGGTGTCTGCTATGGGGAAAGTGTATAGGGCTGTACAGGGCTGTATAGGCATCTGCTGTGAGGTTGCATAGGAATGTACAGGGAGACATCCATCGTGGGGAGGGCATATTGGGGTGTACAGTGATTGAGAAGAACTACTTTGTGAGCTGGAAACAGGCTTCGCTTCACTCCCGTTAGTCTGTGCACCTTTTCTGTTACCCCAAAGTCTTCAGGGCCCAGACCCTGGGCAATTGCTGAACTTCTGTTACCCCAAAGTCTTCAGGACACAGGCCCTGGACAGTTGCTGAACTTCTGTTACCCCAGAGTCTTCAGGAACCCAGACCTTGGGGATTGCTGACCTCCAAGTTATTTGTCTGCCTTCTTTAGTAGGGTACAAGTTCCCTAAACCCGGCTTGATTTTGCACCCGAAAGAAGAGTCACCCCAAGCAAC